ACTGAAGCACATAATGATCTTATTGTCTGTAAAACCAAGGAATATAGTGACCTGGATAGTCAATACAAACAAAAACTTGATCCCAAACTATTGTTCCATTGTTAGAATAGAAAAATGTCTGTTTACCCAACAGGGCGGAAAAAATCTTTAAAGTGGACACATCATAGATTCTTTACATGAAGCCAGGATCCCCTCTGGTGAAAAAAACGTATTAGCCTTAGATCTCAAATCTACGTCCTACCCACATGGAAGAAAAATATATTTTAAATGTAATTTAAAAATACATTCTTAATATATTCTTCCCAAATATATTGACATATATTTTAAATACTACAATTTTGGCCATATTCAATATATTTCAAAAATAGTCCTCTAGTGATATAAGAACCTACATAGAGGAACCAGGGCCTCCTTCATCCTGCCGGTGACCCCCTATAGTGATATAAAGATCTATATAGAAGAATAAGGACCTCCTTCCTCCTTCCTCCTGGTGGTGACCCCTCTAGTGATATGAAGATCTATATAGAGGAATCAGGACCTCCTTCCTCCTTTTGGTGACCCCTCTAGTAGTAAAAGGACCTACATAGAGGAATCAGGACCTCCTTCCTCCTGTTGGTGATCCCTCTAGTGATATTAAGATCTACATAAGGACCTCATTCCTCCTTCAGTTGACCCCTCTTGTGGTATGAAGATCTACATAGAGGAATCAGGACCTCCTTTCTCCTGCTGGTGATCCCTCTGTTGATATAACACTCTAGATAGAGGAATCAGGACCTCCTTCCTCCTGCTGGTGACCCCTCTAGTGATATAAAGATCTATATAGAGGAATCAGGACCTCCTTCCTCCTGCTGGTGACCCCTCTAGTGATATAAAGATCTATATAGAGGAATCAGGACCTCCTTCCTCCTGCTGGTGATCCCTCTAGTGATATGAAGATCTGTATAGAAGAATCAGGACCTCCTTTATCTTGGTGGTGACCCCTCTAGTGATATAAAGATCTATATAGAGGAATCAGGACCTCCTACCTCCTTTTGGTGACCTCTCTAGTGATATAAGTACCTACATAGAGGAACCAGGGCCTCCTTCTTCCTGCCGGTGACCCCCTATAGTGATATAAAGATCTATATTGAAGAATAAGGACCTCCTTCCTCCTGGTGGTGACCCCCCTCTAGTGATATGAAGATCTATATAGAGGAATCAGGACCTCCTTCCTCCTTTTGGTGACCCCTCTAGTAGTATAAGGACCTACATAGAGGAATCAGGACCTCATTCCTCCTTCAGTTGACCCCTCTTGTGGTATGAAGATCTACATAGAGGAATCAGGACCTCCGTCCTCCTGCTGGTGACCCCTCTAATGATATAAAGATCTATATAGAGGAATCAGGACCTCCGTCCTCCTGCTGGTGACCCCTCTAGTGATATAAAGATCTATATAGAGGAATCAGGACCTCCTTCCTCCTGCTGGTGACCCCTCTAGTGATATAAAGATCTATATAGAGGAATCAGGACCTACTTTCTCCTGTTGGTGACCCCTCTAGTGGTATCAATATCTATATAGAGGAATTAGGACCTCTTTCCTCCTGGTGGTGACCCTCTAATGATGCATCCTAGAATTCAATTTGCTTTCCTGACTGCCTGGCCACACTGTTTACTCCTTTTGCAATCATCTGAAATAAGTACCCCCCAGATCCTGTTCCTCTGTAGTGCTGGCCAACACTGTACCCCCCAATGTTGTACTCTCTCAAGAGATTTGTTTTCCCTAGGTACAATATTTTGCATTTAGAATCATTGACCTGCAGTTTCCACTTCTTTGACCAATCCTACAGCAAAGCCAAACCATGTTCCATGGTACAGACCAGTGGTGAATTTAGGTTTTGTGGTGCCCTAGGTAAAACAAAATGCGCCCCCCCCCCCGGAGAGAGCCTGAAATTGACCAACAACACCCCTGCCGCCCCCACCTGAGACAGCCTTCCACTACCATCGCCCCCATACACCGGCCAGTCCCCTCCCAGCGAGAGAGAGACTCTCGCCATCACAGCTCTGGACATCCCTGGGATCGAGAGTCCAGCAGCCCTCTGCCTCTCTCGGATCCCACCTGGTCCCCAAACCACATGTGTCCCTTCTTCCAGGGAGGCGGTGCTTCCCCCCTGGAAAATGCCGCCCTAGGCAAATGCCTTGTGGTAAATACGCCCCTGGTACAGACCCCTCCAGAGATATCAATCGTACCTCCGGATGATCTTCACAACAGTTTCCGAAATCAAATTCAATTGAAGGCAATGGACTTGATATAGAAATGTTACCAAGGTTGACTTTTCTTCATGACCTTTGAGGGTCGATCTACCAAAAGTGGAGCACTCAAAATCTGGTGCAGCAGTGCACGGCAGCCAATCAGCTTCTAACGCCAGATTGTTCAACGAAGCTTTGGCAATAAAACCTGGAAGCTGATTGGTTTCTACACCAGATTTTGTTCTCTCCAGTTTTGGTAACTCAACCCCAAAGTGTCTTCTCCAACCCTCCAAACAAGATAGATTTCGAGACATGTAGAATATTTTTTCTTCTCTGCTGACCTTTCATAGGCTTCCTGTGGCAGGAAGTATGATATGATTCAGCTACTGACCATAGGCACGCGAAAACAAAACGTCTTGAGTCTACCTCGGGATCGTTGGGTTGTCGACTCACACGACATCCCATTTACTGATTTTTATGTTTAATGAACAAAAGTCGAAGTATATTAACCACTTCAAGTCCGGACACTTTCACCCCCTTCCAGTCCAGGCCAATTTTCAGGTTTCAGTGCTGTCACACCTTGAATGACAACTGCGCGGTCATGCAACACTGTACCCGTAATAATTTTTTTAGCATTTTTTTGAGACGGATAAAACTTTATTTTGGTGGTATTTATTCACCACTGGGATTTTTATTTTTTGCTATATAAATGAAAAAGTCCAAACAAAAATAGTGTTTTTCTTATAACATTTTGCAAGTCAATAATCTTTCTTCATAAATCTTGGCCAAAATTTATTCAGTTATCTTTTTAGTAAAAATAAAATAACCAAATTAGTTTATAACCAAAAATTAAAATTTTTTACATTTTTATTTATTTTTTTATTTTATTATTTATGTAGTTTTTTTTTTTTTTTTAACACATGATTGCTTTTACGCCCATAAAGGCTGCAAAAGCAATAATTTATCCTTCTCTCTGGCAGCATTCCGGCAGCCATTGAGAAATACTGTGAGAGCTGTGATTGGGCACAGCTTGTCACATTGTACAAGGCTGTTTTTATGGTTTTTATTTATTTTTTATATTATTATTTATGTAGTTTTTTTTTTTTACATACTGTCACCCTAGCAGTGCAGTGTCACCATAGGACACTGTACTACTTGTGGGGGGTGATGAAGATTTTTTTTTTTTTTTTTTTTACACATTGCTTTTACACCCGTAAAGGCTGTAAAAGCAATCATTTCTCCTTCTCTCTGGTTGCATTCTTGAGCCATTGAGAAATACTGTGAGAGCTGTGACTGGTCACAGCTTGTCACATGGTACAAGGCTGTTGTGAATATCCCTGTACCATGTGATCTCTGTGATCATTCACAGGTTTAACTAGTAGTAATCAATGATGTCAGAAGTGTACTACTATTCATGTGATTGCTGATTGGCCAATCAGTGATCACATGATCGGGACCTCACACAGAGGTCCCATACAGCGATCAGACACAGCAGGCACCGGATCGCGGTTGAGGTTTCTTCAGGGGTGCCTTGGCAAAATGTCTAAAAATTGCCCAAAACTTGCATACAAGCCATTGGGTGGAACAAGCCTGCCTTTTAGTTACACTAAGCCACAGGTTTCCATTGTGCACCATTACGACCTTCTAGCCGCCAGCATCCTGACAACCAATGACATCGTCAGTTGATAAGGAGGATGTCAGCTGCCTGCACGGCCTTCTAGTTTGACCCTCCCCTGCCCCTCTCCATCAGTGCTGGGGTCACATTAGCTCAGTGATGGATAAAAACTGAGGGAGAGGAGAAACATTGGAATACTAGTCAGTACCAGTGTGCAAAAGTGTATTTGCTTTGGAAGAATAAGTCACCTCTAATGTTGGGTGTCCTACGTGTGCGTTATATAAAACTATTAGAATTGTTTTTCACATTGTAGAATGTGGTGCCCATTTAAAATTATGGACAGCCTTTAGGCACCCCATTTTAGAATGGGGTGCCTCAGGACTGTCCGTAATTTTAAAGGGTGCCTCGGGACTGTCCATAATTTTAAAAGGGTGCCTTGTCTGAAAAAAGGTTGAGAAACACTGGTCTATTACACCCATACACAACCCATATGTGGTAATGCCCCATCCATGTCACCCCTGGCAAGCGTAGATCCCTCTATATCTCCACATTATGGGTTGCTAGGGGCTTCTTGAGCATTGAGAAACTTCTGTCTCTCAGATGAGTAATCAGATTGAGCGATGGTCTTTTCAGCTATCTCTAAGGTGGGGGGGGGGATCTTCCCAATGACCACCACCAGCAATGTAAGGGACATTCTTCCCACTGACCCCAATATAATGGAATTTCTTTCCACTGACCACCAGTGTGAGGGACATTCTTCACACTGACCACCAATGTAAGGGGCATTTTTCCCACTGACCTCCAATGTAAGGAACATTCTTCCCACTGACCACCAATGTAGGGACATTCTTCCCTTGACCACCAATGTAAGAAGCATTCTTTCCATTGGCCACCAATGTAAGCAGAATTCTTCCCACTGACCACCAATGTACGGGAAATTGTTCTCACTGACCACCAATGTAAGGGACATTCTTCTCACTGACCACCAATGTAAAATAACATTCTTCCCACTGACCACCAGTGTAAGGGACATTCTTCCCACTGACCACCAATGTAAGGAGCATTCTTCTCACTGACCACAAATAAAAGGAACATTATTTACCTTGCCCACCAACGTAAGAAGCATTATTTCCATTGGCCACCAATGTAAGGGACATTCTTTTCACTGACCACCAATGTAAGGGACATTCTTCCCACTGACCACCAATGTAAGGAAAATTCTTCTCACTGACCACCAATGTAGGAGACATTCTTCTCACTGACCACCAACAAGAAAGACTTCTAATTGGCCACCCCACTAATGTACAGTGAACCTATGATATAGTAATTATTATTACGGGTTCCCTGAGGCTGAAAAGCTATTTCCAAGGCTCCTCCATGTTTAAAACGATTGAGAAAGGCTGGTCTAGTTTCTGAAAACTAGTAAAATTGGTCATCAATGGGGATAAGTTGCCAGTTCAGATTGAATTTTGCTTGCATCGAGGCCCAACAATTTAGGGTTGTAACGGGGAGAACTCACTTCTTGTCCTGAGTCTCTGAATATTTATGAGATGGATAATGTTTTACGATGTCCAATACCCACCTTTGATGGGTATTCTTCGAAAAGTGAGTTTTGACTTTGTTTCTCCTCCAGTAAAATAAGTAAAACTTCAGTTTTCAGGCAACAGACCTAATATGGACATGATCCATCACTCAAAGCCAAAATAACATTTATAGATATGAAACTTCTCTTTTTCTCTGCTCTTCTTACACAAACTTCCTGTGGCTTATAGAAGTCATACAATATAGATCAGAGATATAGATCTCTGTGAGTTGCCCACTGACCATTGGCTTTAACATTTGACACGAAGAAACAAGATGTTTCATTTTTATCTCTGGATCGTTGTGTTTTCGAACCTCCAGACCTGTAAGAATGTCTTCAGTTGTTTCTATAATAAAGTCAATAAAATGTTTGTGTAGCCAAAACTTTTGATTTTGGATAGAGTAGGGAAAGGTAAAACCCTTATTTTTGCTGTCTGCTAACCATTGGGGAAATGTGTCTTCCCCAGGGGTGACTGACCATTCCGGCTCTCTGGCATTACTCCAGGGCCCAGGGTCAGAAGCGGGCCCCATGGGATGCCCCTGGTACCTTTCATAGGCTGTTTTAGGTGTGGTTTGAGTGTGGGCGAGGTCACAGGGGCCCCATGATTCCTATTGCCCAGCGGGCCCCATGAGTTTCTGTGCCTCCCCTGGTCTTCCCTTTCTGTTTCAGAGATGTTAATGTAAATTGACAAAAGTGAAGGGTGTTCCCCTTTTAGACAGTTGTCCCCAATGGAAGAGTTACCCTCACTGCCAATGTAAGGGACAGTCTTCCCAATGACCACCAATGTAAGGGACATTCTTCCCACTGATCACCAATGTAAGGAACATTCCTCCCACTGACCACCAATGTAAGAGACATTCTTCACACTGACCACCAATGTAAGGAGAATTCTTCCCACTGATCACCAATTTAAGGAGCATTCTTTCCATTGATCACCAATGTAAGGAACATTCTTCTCACCTACTACCAATGTAAAAGAGCATTCTTCCCACTGACCACCAATGAAAGGGACATTATTCCCACTGACCACCAATGTAAGGAACATTCTTCTCACCTACTACCAATGTAAAAGAGCATTCTTCCCACTGACCACCAATGTAAGGAACATTATCTCCCTTGACCACCAATGTAAGAAGCATTCTTTCCATTCACCACCAATTGAAGCAGCATTCTTCTCACTGACCACCAATGTAGGGAACATTCTTCTCACTGATCACCTATGTAAGGAACATTCTTCTCACTGATCACCAATGTAAGGGACATTCTTCCCACTGATCACCAATGTAAGGGACATTCTTCTCACTGACCACCAATGTGGGGACATTCTTCTCAATGACCACCAACAAGAAAGACTTCTAATTGGCCATCAACCTAGTGTACAGTGAACCTTTCATATTGTAATTATCATTATGGGTTCCCTGGGCTGAAAAGCTATTTCCAAGGCTCCTCCATGTTAAAACGGTTGAGAATGGCTGGTCTAGTGTCTGAAAACCAGTAAAATTGGTCATCAATGGGGATAAGTTGCCAGTTCAGACTGAATTTTGCTTGCATCGAGGCCCAACAATTTAGAGTTGTAACGGGGAGAAACCACGTCTTGTCTGAATATTTATGAGATAGATAATGTTTTACGATATCAATATGAGGATTAACATTGATAACAGTTACTAACCCTTGAGATCAAGTATTTCACTTTTGGTAGTCTGTTCTTTTTTGAATTTCTTTGATGGGTATTCTTCGAAAAGTGAGTTTTGACTTTGTTTCTCCTTCAGCTTTCAGGCAACAGACCTAACGTGGACATGCTCCATTGCTCAAAGCTAAATTAATATTTATAGATACTACAAAACCTCCTTTTCTCTGCTCTGCCTACACAAACTTCCTGTGGCTTCTAGAAGACATACAATATAGATCAGAGATATAGATCTCTGTGAGTTGCCCACTGACCATTTGGCTTTACCAATTTGACACGAAGAAACAAGATGTTTCGTCTCCAGCTCTGGATCGTTGTGTTTTCGAACCTCCAGGCCCTGTAAGAATGTCTTCAGTTGTTTCTATAATAAGGTCATTAAAGTGTTTGTATAGCCAAAACTTTTTTGGTTTTGGATAGAGTAGGGAAAGGTGAAACCCTTATTTTTGCTGTCTGTTAACCACTGGGGAAATGTGCCTTCCCTTTCTGTTTCAGAGATGTTAATGGAAATTGACAAAAGTGAAGGGTGTTCCCCTTTTAGACAGTTGTCCCAATGGAAGAGTTACCCTCACCTCTTGTTCTGGGGAGAACTCTAAAATTTTGGATTTCCCATCATTTCATCTTTCAGAAGATGTACAGATAGAGAATATGAATCTCCCCAATGGAGACAGCAATCAAAACTTGACCGAGGGTCTATCCCTTTCACCCTGTATCCAAAACAGAATAATTAAGGTTTTCCCAAGAGATAAACTTTAATTTTTGTGATATTTACAGGTGATAGTAGTTTTGTAGTTTAAATGCTAAATGCTTTAAATCAGCCTTCCTCAACCTTTTTACTCAGAGGAAACCCTTGAAATTATTTTAAGGTCTCAGGGAACCCTTGCTAAAACCAATTCATTGATGGCCAGTGAAAAAAATGCCCTAACAATAGTAGTCAGTGGGAAGAATTTAATCCTTAAAATGGTGGCAGGCAACCTTTTTACTCAAAGGAACCCTTGAAATTATTTCCAGGTCTCAGGGAACCCTTGCTAAAACCAATTCATTGGTGGCCAGTGAAAAAAATGCCCCTAACAATAGTAGTCAGTGGGAAGAATTTAAACCCTTAAAATGGTCGTAGGCAACCTTTTTACTCAAAGGAACCCTTGAAATTATTTTCAGGTCTCAGGGAACCCTTGCTAAAAACCCAATTCATTGATGGCCAGTGAAAAAAATGCCTCTAACAATAGTAGTCAGTGGGAAGAATTTAACCCTTAAAATGGTGGTCAGAAATGGATCATTGCGTTTATGCAGCTGGCTTTACCAATTGAGCCAGAATAACTATACAGGCACCATCAAATGCGAGGTCAATCAGCCACAGCTCAAGGAACCCTTAGCAACCTGTGGAGGAACCCTGGTTGAGAATAGCTGCTTTAAATGATCAGTACTTTATTTGTAGAAAAAAGCTGTATTGGTTGAGTAAGCTGAGTGGCTACTTGATATCAGAAGCTATAACTGTTGTATTCTTTTCTATCTCCACTGAATACGGCCAGTTGCTGCTCTCAGAATCTTCTTTGCTTTGTTGTCCCACATTCTGAGTGGTCACCAGAACAGTAATAGAGGCAGAGCACAAGTTCTGGTGACCACTCAGAACAGAAACTGGTCACCAGAACAGTAATAGAGGCAGAGCACAAGTTCTGGTGACAACCAGGTATTTCCTTACTTTGGAGGGATTTCCTCTTACTTCCCGTTGTGGCTCTGGGACAGGTAGTGAAGGGAAATCTACCCAATGGTACACCAATGGCAAAATCTGACATGGGCTATAAACCCTCCCTTACTTTATTCAAAATGAAAAGTTTTGTTCTTAGTTCTACTTTAATAGTCTTCTCCGTGTTATACACACCTGTACAAAGAGCGATAATGTCCCATCCATGTCACCCCCCGGATGACAGTGAACCCCTCTTTGTCACCATAGTAAGAGGATTATTACAAAATATTTTTTAGTTTTGATTAAAGCAAATTTAACTCTTTATCAGATGTGATGAGCGAAGAACCTTGTGAAAAAAGAAATGCAACTGGCGTTATGGGAGGAACTGTCACCCTACAAGTTTGTCACACTGGGGGGGTCACAATGATTATATGGATTTTTTAGTGAAATGGAAGGTGCTATCGCCAAAACAATACCAGGAGAACCAACTTTAATTATTGAACACCAATTTAGAGGAAGACTCAGCAACACATCTGATGGATCCTTGACAATAACTGAGCTAAAACAGGAAGACCAGGGGACCTACCGGGCACAAATCTTCACATCAAATAGTGTACGGAATTGCTGCTATCATCTCACACTGCTTTCTGTAAAGTGTCCCTGGAAATTGTTTTGTGGTGTAATCTGTGGGATCTTCTATCAGATGTGGTCTTTCCTATTTTCATTGTTTATATAAACATTAAAAAGAGATTTGCTTCATATAAGTAATGGGCAATCAATGGGCAGAAAAAATACCACAACAAAGCAGGTCAGTGATCTCGGGAGCTAAGCATGGTCAGGTATGGTTAGTACTTGGATGGAAACATCATTATACCCAAATCCCAAGATTTGTCCAGTAGAGGATTCTTTCTGCTATACTAAACCCCAGCCAAGGTTATCCATAACACATATGGAATCCGTTCTCCGAAAAGGAGGTGGGGGGTCATTACATATCTCTTTTGTGCCTCTATGCATTTAACAGGATAACCCTGCTTCTTCAGGAGGACTTCAAGTGATAGAAACTGGGATAGGGCTCTCTTCCACCACAAACAAAGACCAGAGGAGATCACCCACCACAACTCCAGAAACCCCCCTCAGGTCTAATGCAGGGGCACCCATGGGAGATATTAGGTAGACTGAGTCTAGTAAGGGACCAGTAGGAGGTGCATTGTCAACCCATACATTCTTCATATTAAATCACCATGGAAATGGCTGGCTCAGTGTCACAATAGCATAAAACTCTCCTAAAGAGATGCCCTTATTGGATAAAAGAAGAGAAAAGCTCTGTATCCATCCAGGAGCTACCATAGTATATTAATTTGTCATAGGAATAAATTTGGCTACAACCACATCTATCTGTAAGGTTCAAGTCCAAAATGCTCCTCCTCCAAGTTCTGGTGACTAATTACATGTACATGAGTAGATGCCTCTTCAGGGGCAGGGTTGTTGAGTGTTGTAAATGTGGGTGAAGTTCTTGTCTTGCACTGGGGGACCATGAGCTGCATTGGTCCTCTGGAGAAAGCCCTAAAATGTTGCATTTGATGCTTCTTCCTTCCAGATAACTTAACGACTGAGGATATCACCATCAATTCCAATATAACTGATAATAAGACATGTGAGGTCATCTTGACGTGTTCAGTGAACTCAAAAAGGAAAGCAAGGTGAACATCAACTGGAGGTATTTAAACAGCAGTAAAATTACTGTGACCAAAAACGATGTGTTTGTACTTCGGAGTAGTTTTGACTTCACCTATACATGTACTGTAGAAAATCCTGTCAGTAATGCCTCGAAAGCTGTGCACCCCTGGAAATTCTGCCAGAATGGTAAGTACATTTACAAATCTCTTGTAAGTATTTTCCTTCAAGTACCTAGATTACAAGTACCTACCTTTACTATGCCTTCTTCTACTTCAAGAAATGTTTGTTTTTGGGTGGGATACTGTTGACTTGTTTGTATATCCACCTGCTCCAGTATCTTTGTAGTGTATGGCTTGTGTGACTACTAATATTTCCTGACCCTCTATTCATATTGGTTTTGGGAAAATATTTATGTTTTGTCTGTTAGAGACCAACCCCAGCTATTAATGTTGGGACCGTAAAGTGAATGTCTCAGTTGTGCCAATTTAGAGTAAAGCGATAGATTCTCTTGAAAACTTGCTTTCTCACCTTCCACCCGCTGATGCTGATCTTTGCCACACTCCCCCACTTCTCTCTTCTTGTCCATTGGAGTCATGCATTTAAATTATGTGCAAGCTCAATGTTGGTCAATGTCAAAGCTTCCAGGAGGTTAATGGCCTTCTCCTTCCCAGGGAATGGCAATGCACCACTTCAGCCTGAGCACTGCATCCACAGAGAAAGGAAAAAGGTCACATGATCTCCTATAACCCGAATGTAGGAGTGGTGATTGGCCACTTCAGTCTGAGCACTGCATCCTCAGAGGAAGGGAGAATTTCACATGATCTCTCCTTATCAGTATGTAGGAATGGTGATTGGCCACTTTAGTCTGAGCATTGCACCCTCAGAGGAATGAGGAAGATCACATGATCTCTTCTTATCAGTATGTAGGAATGGTGATTGGCCAGTTCAGCCTAAGCACTGCATCCTCAGAGGAAGGGAGAAGGTCACATGATCTACCATAACCAGTATGTAGGAATGGTGATTGGTCACTTTAGTCTGAGCACTGCATCCTCAGAGAAAGGAAAAGGTCACATGATCTCCTATAACCAGAATGTAGGAGTGGTGATTGGCCACTTCAGTCTGAGCACTGCATCCTCAGAGGAAGGGAGAATTTCACATGATATCTCCTATCAGTATGTAGGATGGTGATTGGCTACTTTAGTCTGAGCTCTGCATCCTCAGAGGAAGATCACATGATCTCTCATAAACTGTAAGTAGGAATGGTGATTGGCCACTTTAGTCTGAGCACTGCATCCTCGAAGGAAGGGAGAAGGTTGAGGACCGCCCAGGGGTGGACTGACAACTCATGGGCCCCCGGGCAATAGAGGATCATGGGGCTCCTGTGTCCTTGCCCAAACTCAAAAAAGCCCATGAAAAAGGTACCAGGGGCATCTCATGGGCCCCCTACTGACCCCGGGCCCTCGGGCAGTGCCCGAGTTTCAAATGGTCAGTCCGCCCCTGGGACCGCCTCATACACAGTATTT